TGAGTGCTGTCAGCACTGGGGAGCTACAGTTCATTGAGGGAATCATGAATGCCAACATGTACTGTGACATACTAACGCAGAGCACGATCCCCTCCCATCGGAGACTGGGCCGCAGGGCAGTATTCCAACATGATAACAACCCCAAACACACCTCCAAGATGACAACTGCCTTGCTAAAGAAGCTGAGGGTAAAGGTGATGGACTTGCCAAGTGTGTCTCCAGACCTAAACCCTATTGAGCATCTGTGGGGCATCCTCAAACGGAAGGTGGAGGAGCGCAAGGTCTCTAACATCCACCAGCTCCGTTATGTCGTCATGGAGGAGTGGAAGAGGACTCCAGTGGCAATCTGTGAAGCTCTGGTGAACTCCATGCCCAAGAGGGTTAAGGCAGTGCTGGAAAATAATGGTGGCCATACAAAATATTGACACATTGGGCCCAATTTGGACATTTTCACTTAGGGGTTGCCACTTTTGTTGCCAGCGGTTTAGACATTAATGGCTGTGTGTTAAGTTATTTTGAGGGGACAGCAAATTTACACTGTTATACAAGCTGTATACTCATTACGCTGCATTGTAGCAAAGTGTCATTTCTTCAGTGTTTTCACATGAAAAGATATAATATAATATTTTTACAAAAATGTGAGGGGTGTACTCACTTCTGTGCGATACTGCAATATTATATATATATAAATATATATATATATATATATATATATATATTTCAATAAAATTTATTTTATGGACATATATAAAAAATATATTTAAAAAAAAAAATTGCAGTAAAATTTCCACTAGTGATGGACATAGTCCGGCCGCCCTTAAAGTGTTACTAAACCCACAACAGTAAAAACAGTCTGCATATGCAGTAAAGCATGCTTGTTATACTCAACTGTGGAACCTAAGGGGTTCATCCTCTGCATTGTGTAAAAACGTTGTTTGATCCTGATTTCTCTGATCCTCCCCTTCTTCCAGGGTGCCCCTCTTATAGAGTGTATGTGATCAGCACAGGGCCAATCAGCACTGTTCAGAGAGAGGTCAGGGGTTCTGCATCCTCCTTGCGCAAAATGAAAGCTCCTCCTACAAGCTTTAAGTTACAAGACTGCTCTAAATGCTGATGAGAAAAAGTATTTAGCAGTTTATATTTACTAAAATAATTGCACTTCCATGTTCTGTGTGCTGCGGGAGACCAGATATAGTGAATGCAGGATCCAGGGTTTATCAACACTTTAAATTTTGAAGGACAACAAACTGGTCCTTTCTCTGCTGTCTGCTAAAGAAGAGGGCTGACTTTCCCTCTCATGTAACAACCTACTGGTCCTTCAGTGCACAGCATCAATGCAGAAGGAAACAGAACAATGTTCGGCCTAGAAAGTGAACACTTGAATATCACAGTACATTGGAATTTGGAGGTACTGGGGTGCTTGTGAGATAAAGGGAAACTGTAATATTTTTACATTTATATATGAAAGAGATTGGTTTAATGTAAAAAATATATGCAGTAATGCACTTTTTATCTTTGCCTCTTTGTGTAGTTAGCAAATACTTACAGTATGTACGTAATGTAGGTCATATTTGCTCATTACATATGTAGGCTCTTCTTTTGGATGTACCTTCCATATCCTCGTTTCTCAATCCAAATCTGCTAGACACGGTTTTCTGATAGACTCACAATAACCGGAAACACCTACAATACAGATTAGTGGCTCTGTGTATACTAGGCAATGCATTCAGCAACTCTGCTTAAAGCAGTATTAAACCCAATACCAAAAATGTATTATATTGCAGCTTACCAATCATTGTATCTGGTGGCTGCAGCAGTTTTCTTTGGCTTTTTCCCCGGTGTTTTCACCTGGTGATCTGACCAGTAACTCGCCTCCTGTATTAGTGAGACGCAACACTGGGGGAATGAGATAGGAGGCATATCAGACAGCACCATCATCAGTTTGGAGGGAGGGTAGTGTTATATGTATTAGCAAATTTTGGTACACTAACAAATGGTAGCCAATTCCAGCTAAATCTTTATAACCAGGTACAGCAAACAATTTATTTCCTTGATCATTTAATCACCCATGCCAGTGTTAAGTGGTTTGTCTCATCCAAGTAAACTGATACATTCTGCTAGAGAGCTTGTGCTTTTAAAAAATCTACAGACTTGCTGGCTGGTTCCCCAGATTAAAATAGAAGAAAGCCTAAAAAGGAAAACTAATACAGCCATCACACCTAAGAATTGGTAAGCTGCAGTATAATAAATGTTTGCTTTTGGGTTTAATACTGCTTTAATAACTGCTGAAATAAACAGAGTGACCATTTGCTTATGATTGATATAATTTAATTTAAAGCATTACTTTGGCAGGCAATATGCACTTATTGGTCTGTTACATTAAAGTAATGTATACTAGATTTGTTTTTCATGGAAATAAATTAGGGTTATAATTCATGTAGCAGTTCTGTACACTGGAGGGCAACGATCACAAATTGACACGTGTTTTTCCTGCTGCAGGCTGTACTCAGCTAATGTTTTTTTGGTTCAGCACTGTTAAAAATACTATAGATGTAAATTCTAACTGAATGTTTAGTTTGCAAGAACACAGTAATCCTGCATTCACACTTGAGTGCTTTGTAGCTTGAAGCTCACAACTCGAAGCTCCAAAAATGCTCAAACTTAAAAAAGCAATTGTTCTCTATGGTACCTATTTGCAGGATCAGGTGTGAACAGGCACCATAGAGAACAATTGATTTTTTAAGTTTGAGCTTTTTTGAAGCTTGGAGCTTCCAGCTACAAAACGCTCAAGTGTGAATGCAGCCTTATAAACAATTACCATTGTTTGTTTTGTTTTTTTTCACCTCTTTTCATACTTTCTTGCATCTTGGTGCTTCAGATCTCCTGCATGCTTTTGGCAGCCACTGCTCCAGGGATGACTCCATGGCATTTCATAGGGGGGTCATGCCGTTGACAACAGTGGACGATGCTTGCTTTAACCACTTGCCCTCCTGAGGATTTACCCCCCTTAATGACCAGGCCTCTTTTTGCTACTTGGCGCTGCACTAATTCAACTGATAATTGTGCGGTCATGCAATGCTGCACCCAAACGAAATTTACGTTGTTTTTTTCACACAAATAGAGCTTTCTTTCGGTGGTATTTGATCACCTGTTCGCTTTTCATTTTTCACGCTATAAACAAAAAAAGACCAAAAACTTTTAAGAAAAACTATATTTTTTACTTTCAGCTATAAAAAATATATAGTAAACTCAAAGTTAGTTATAAATTTAGGCCAAAATGTATTCTGCTACATGTTTTTGGTAAAAAAAATCCCAATAAGTGTATATTGATTGCTTTGTGTGAAAGTTATAACGTCTACAAACTATGGTATAGATACTGCAATTTACGCCATTTTTTTGTTACAGCGCTGCGCTAGTTTAACGGACAATTGTGCGATCATGCAATATGGTACATAAATGAAATTTACATCCTTTTTTTCCCACAAATTGAGCTTTCTTTCGGTGGTATTTGATTGCCTGTGAGTTTTTTATTTTTTGCACTATAAAAAAAAAAAGGCTGACAATTTTGAGGAAAAAAAAACTATATTTTGGACTTTTTGCTATAAAACATGTCCAGTAAAAAAAATTTAAAAATCAAATTTAGTCATAAATTTCGGCCAAAATGCATTCTGCGACATGTCTTTACTATAAAAAAAACCCACCAATCCGTGTAAATTAATTGGTTTACGTGAAAGTTATAGCGTTTACAAATGGCGGGAAAGATAGTGGGATTTTTAATTTTTTTTTATACTAATAATGGCGGCGATCAGCGACTTATGGCGGGACTGTGGGACGGCGGCGGACATTCTAACACTGGGGGGGGAACTGACTTGGGGTCACTGACATCCCCAGTGACACCAATACAGTGATCAGTGCAAAAAAAAAAAAACACTGACACTGTACTAATGGCACTGGGGAGGAAGGGGTTAACTTTATTCAGTGAAAGGGTTAACTGTGTGAGGGAAGTGTTTTACTAGGGGGTGGGGGGGTGTACTGCATGGGGACAAGCTGATCAGGAGAGATAAACTCTTCTCTCCTGCTCAGTATGTCAGGAGCTGTCAGGGAACTGACAGAAAGCACAGCTACTGCAGGTGTGCTCTCTCTCAGTGATTGCTGCTAATCGCCGGGACACAGCCGGTAACGACTGGCAGTGACCCGGCGATTGACATCCGCGGCCGTGATCGGCGGGAAAGGTAGGGCGGTGGAGCGCCTACCTGTTTTAAAAACACACGTTTTAAAACGTGGTTTTGCCCAGCTGTGCCACCCTGACGCTGTATTTCTACAGTGGCTGGGCAGCATGTGGTTAATGTGTTGTAAAGTGGCCACTTGCAGTCTTTACTGGAAGCCTGTGTGACAGGGTGACAATGTAGGAACACAATTCGATGACTACAGTCACCCTGCCTGAACAAGGACTTGTATGCCCAGATAACTAGATATTATTGTTTTCATGCTAACTCCAGATTTAAAAATATTGAAAATTAGTTTTGAAATTACATCAACATGTTAGAGCCTATGTGGGATTTTGGTGTTTAAACTTACATTTACAAAAATTGAAAGCAGTGTTGGGGAGGTTGGAGAAAAGATTCTCCTACTGCTGAGGACTGTTACGAAAGAAAAGAAAATGATAAAAATAAAATCTAAGATCTGAAATGTGGCTCGTCAGAAAATCATATTATAAAAAATTGCTCGGGTCAGAAGGATTCCTTTGTGGCTGCTAAAGGATATTCAGTAGTATTTAAAGAACAGACAAATATAAGTTCTTTTGTGATTTTTTTTTTTTTGACAAAAAAAATCTGCCTGGTCATGGACTTTGTACAGATCAAAGACTGTAATAGTGATGGCTATTGCCCACCTGGTTCGATTTAAATATTATTAATCAGTGTAGAACTCTTTACAATGTAGGTATTACACACTGACATTTACTTTCTTTTTATTTATGTAGGGGCTTCACATTGTAAATAATGGGTCCAGCAATACTGAGCCTTGGATTCTGCAGCTCTTGCCTTCGAGGGAGACTAAATGGACTGGCATGGCCCAAAAACTGGCAGCGGGTTACATGTCATGGAATAACTCGGACCATTTGTTCTGAGACGGGGACAGTGGGAAAAAGCTTTTGGAGTGGAAACCCGAAAAAAAGGGTAGAAAGATTTTGGCATCACAGGATAAAGGACCAGTATACAAAAATCAGTGAAGTAGATGTAAGTATGTACAGTAAACTATAAATGCACTTTTGGGTATGTGACAGAAGTGTAAGTTGGACAGAACACACGCGGAGAGCATTTTGAGGGCACACACGATGAGTATAGCAAGGTTCTGGCAAAACAAAAGTTAAGTCCGTACCACAGGGTGGGGCACAAGGATCCCCGAGTTCTGGTAGGCAACAAGGGGGTTAGTCTGTAGCACCGACGGGGCCCTCAACAGGGAGGCGGGCAAGGATTAGGTCCAGATTGGCACACAGCAGGGAGGCAGAGCTCTGGCGGGCAAGGATTAAGTCCGGGTTGGCACACAGCAGGGAGGTGGGCTCTGGCAGGCAATGGGGTAAGTCTGGCTTGGCACACAGCAGGGACACAGACTCTGGCAGACAATGGGTTAAGTCCGGCTTGGCACACAGCAGAAAGACAGGCCGTCTTCTCTCCCTGGCACTGGCATCTTTAGTGTGGGCACCCAGCTGTGACAGCTTGCGGCTGCACGAGAAGCGCTGCGCTTTGTGAATGGCCCCGTAGTCTTCTGGGACCTGTCACGTGTCTCAGAAGACTATGGGGAGGGAGGGGGGAGGACAACTTCCGCTTCTGATCGCCTAGGCCAGTGGTCGGCAAGCCGCGGCTTGCGAGCCACATGCGGCTCTTTACAAACTTAAATGCGGCTCTTCTGTGTGCCGGGCGCCCGCTCCGCTCCCTCCTCTCGGGCGGCCGCCCCCTCCCCTCCCTCCTCTCGGGCGGCCACCCCCTCCCCTCCCTCCTCTCGGGCGGCCCCCCCCCCCCCTCCCTCCTCTCGGGCGGCCGCCCCCTCCCCTCCCTCCTCTCGGGCGGCCGCCCCCTCCCCTCCCTCCTCTCGGGCGGCCGCGCGCTCCCCTCCCTCCTCTCGGGCGGCCGCCCGCTCCCCTCCCTCCTCTCGGGCGGCCGCCCCCCTCCCCTCCTCTCGGACGGCCGCCCCAAAAGTCAGGACTCTGCAGCTGTCAGGATGTAGGCGGGGCAGCCAGGATGTAGGCGGGGCAGCGTGACGAACTCCTCTCCTCTCACAGTCCGCCCTGAAGACCAGAACGGCGCGGGAACACGGCGAGAGTAACGCGCGGAGCAAAGGTAAGTGAATTGACACAGGGGGGACTTACTATATGGGGGACTTACTATATGGGGGACTTACTATATGGGGGACTTACTATATGGGGGATGAATTACTATAGGGGGGATGAATTACTATAGGGGGGATGAATTACTATAGGGGGGATATAGGGGGGAAATTACTATAGGGGGGATGAATTACTATAGGGGGGATGAATTACTATATGGGGATGAATTACTATGGGGGGATGAATTACTATATGGGGGATGAATTACTATGGGGGATGAATTACTATATGGGGGATTAATTACTATATGGGGAATGAATTAATATGGGGAATGAATTACTATAGGGGGGATGAATTACTATATGGGGGATGAATTAATATGGGGGAATGAATTAATATGGGGAATGAATTACTATAGGGGGGATGAATTACTATAGGGGGGATGATTACTATATGGGGGATGAATTACTATGGGGGATGAATTACTATATGGGGGATGGATTATATATGGGGGATGAATTACTATGGGGGATGAATTACTATGGGGGATGAATTACTATGGGGGATGAATTACTATATGGGGGACTTACTATATGGGGGATGAATTACTATATGGGGGATGAATTACTATGGGGGATGAATTACTATGGGGGATGAATTACTATATGGGGGATGAATTACTATATGGGGGATGAATTACTATGGGGGATGAATTACTATGGGGGATGAATTACTATGGGGGATGAATTACTATATGGGGGATGAATTACTATATGGGGAATGAATTAATATGGGGAATGAATTACTACAGGGGGGATGAATTACTATATGGGGGATGAATTACTATATGGGGGATGAATTAATATGGGGAATGAATTACTATAGGGGATGATGAATTACTATATGGGGGATGAATTACTATACGGGGGATGAATTGCTATGGGGGATGAATTGCTATGGGGGATGAATTGCTATGGGGGATGAATTGCTATGGGGGATGAATTGCTATATGGGGGATGAATAACTATATGAGGGATGAATTACTATATGGGGGATGAATTACTATGGGGGATGAATTACTATATGGGAGATGTATTTTCAGTTTTAAAAATGTGGCTCTCAAAATAAATTTCAATCGTGGTTTTGGCGAGATTTGGCTCAGTTGAAAAAAAAAGGTTGCCCACCACTGGCCTAGGCGATCGCAGCGGAAGTGGGAGTGGGTACCTGTCAAATTCGGGTACCCACTCCCCAAAGATGCCAATCCTTAATGGGGAGTGGGGGCCAAAGTATTAAAGTGGAACTTCCCCTTTTGGGTGTAGCTCCATTTTAAATTTATTGCTGTGTACATTGATCACCCAGAGAGGATTGTTTTTTTTTTTTTTTTTCTCTCCAAAAGAGGAGTTATGAAGGACAAACAAGCTAGTATAAATGGACCACATGCTTGCAGCACTTCTGCTGAAAGATACGAAATCATATGCCTGATGTGGAGGGCTTGTACCAATTAATTTTACTAGATTTTGCTAGGTGAAAGGATTACGTTTTTATTTTCCACTGTGAACATGTTTTGTAAAATAGGTGGTGAAATTTTTCTCTTGCTATTAATGCCAAACACTGCAGGCTTGTGCTATCCTTTTTATAATGGAGCAGGCCAAGGTCTTTTCTTGCTGCGGTTTTACAACTAGCACTGAAAAATGTGAAGGCTATATTATATAGTGTGAAACTGTAACAGTACATGCTGTACTAACCTAGAGCTGTCTATGTTGTTTTTTTTTTTATATATATATATATAGAAGACGAAACCAAAGTTTTATGTATTGTCCATGTTTCCATATCCCTCTGGAAAATTGCATATGGGGCACGTACGTGTTTACACACTAAGCGACACCGTTGCACGGTTCCAGAAGATGAGAGGCATGCAGGTAAGATCTAGCTATAACGATCATTGGCAGCTACCTTTTAAACTGTTTAGGGAACATGTGTGTTATGTACTTCATATGCTGTTTGAAACTCCCTGTGTAAAGACTGTGATCTGCATACATGTAGGGGAGCATTTATCATTTCTGTACAGCAAGGCAATACTAAACAGTAGGAATGAGACAAACTGTCTCAACAACTTTACAGTTTGAATCATAAATAACCTCCATCAGCTACCCCAAAGTAGCACTGCAATAGAATAAAACCTGATTCTGACCATTGTTTGAAGAGGAAGTCCAACTACGTGTATGTATGGATCAGTTTTTAACAACCTTTCACATTCAGAACAGCTTTTGCATTTTTTGCACACATGCTTAAAAAATCATTTTAGGCCTGAAGATTGCATAAACCCCCAAAACATAATATATTTTCTGGAAGCAGACGGGCTCAGAGAATAAAATGGTGGTAGTTCCAATTTTTTATGTCACACATTATTACCACAAAGGTCTAGGAAACGTAAAATTTCAGTAAAAAATACACTAAAGTAAATGTTAGGGCACACAAACACAGTAAATTACCCATTTTTAAAGTAAAATATAAAATATGAGATTGCACTGACCAAATAGATACCCAACATATCAAACGTTACATTTGTGTGTGCCCATGAAATGGTGACAAACTTCAATACCCTATATTTTCCATAGGTGACACTTTAAAGAGTAACTTCACTTTCGTGGAGTGTAAAAAAAAAAACAAATTATAAAAAAAAATGATACAGTGTTTACAATTATGACACAAGACATATTGTAATTGAATGGTATTAAAAATTACCTTTCCTTTTCCATCTGCAGTGCTGTAATTTTATGTAAAATGCAATGCAGTATGGCTACCCGGAGGCATTCTGTACCCAGATGGTGTGCAGAGCACCTCCCCAGCAATGTCATTTCCTGCTTGTGTGATTGGCTTACCAATTTTCCCAGAAGTCTGCACTAAGATACAAGTCAGATTTTTTGGCATCTCCTGCAACAAAAGTATCCTTTTTGGTGAGATATTGCCAAAGGGAAATCCTGTCTAAGGGGATGCAGACCCTGCCAGTTTCCTCATTATAGCCCTGCAGGTGCACCAGCTGATTGAAAATTATGAAATCGATCCCATACAGATTTACTATGCACATGGACACAGACAAACAAACAGCTATATCTTGAGAATAACAGAGGGTAGGAATCTACAACAAACTTTGTTAAACTCCTTGCAAGGTGCATACAGTAAACCACCCAAAGGGGATTGTTTTTTTTTTTTCTCAACAAAAGTGTAGTTACCCTTTAAAAGCCGCAGTTAGTAAAAAATAGGTTTAGAGGTTCAAATATAAATTACTGTATCACCCAATATATGGCTTCCATCCAGTAGCCAAAAAGCATGCAGACCAAAAAAGAGATTTGTGAAAAGAGATTCACAAGAAAGTGGCTACATAATGGACAGAATGCGATACTCAGAAAAATTTCCAAAAATTATGCTTTATTACACATTAATGATTGACAATTGGGCAATCGCCCTGGTTTACCATCACCTCAGTATGAGACAATACACACAGACCTAAAACCATTAAAATCACACCAAGACCGGTCTGGATATAAAATGTGCTGCAAAGGCTATGACAACCATAGTCTAAAGCATTTGCAGCACCGCACATTGGTTACACTCCCTGTAGGAGGTTATTTCAAAAAATTGTACCATAGGTATATAATATCACATGCTATGCATATAAGCAAATACAGTTACCACGTGGAGAGAAGCATAACCCTAAGCCTATACAAGGCAATGTGGGTAAAAAATTAATGAAAAAAAGGGGGGATAGACCCCAGTAATATAATTATGGTTCATGCAGTACAACCCTATAAAGGCACATGTGGTTGGGGCCCATCTATCTGTGGTAGACGCAAATAGTTGCAAAGATTCTTATAGATGAAAGAGTCCCTGTTGGTGTCTTGATGGAGAGATGAATGCAAATAGCAGAGGCCTGCTTTATATGGTTTCTTCACCACAACGTGTGGACTGCAAACCACTTTAATATTTGAAATAGAATGAGGCCCGATGGGTCTTCCGCCTGTTGCAATGTATGTTGTATGCCTTGCATCTAGATAAAGCATCATAATGTCCCCATTCTGCAATAAGACAAATGATATAAGAATAGTCACTCTGGGTACTCTCACTCTGATGTGTATATATAGTATAAGTAACAAGGAGCCTTCTTCGTTATTCCTGTAACAGTCCACTCACCACCTGTGCCATGGGTAGTAGAAAATAGAAATATCCTTCATAGGTACTGCCGTGTTGATCCAGGGAACTACCGCTTACATCAGCCGACATTTCGCGGGTTCCGACCTCTCCATGGCGCCTGTACAGCTTTTGCATGACTCATGGCATGTGAAAATGGCTGCCTCCTTGTAGGTCGGCGTGCAAATCACCAATGCGCATGACCGGAAGTGACGTATCTGATGTATAATTGTGCTCATGTGATTACTGCAGTCCCTCCTTTATGTCTATAGCTTGTGGTTGGGCTTCAGCAGTGCCCGCATGTTAGACCTTTGTGACATGTACTGCCACTGCAAGTGAACCCAGGCAGGGTGATAAAAACACCATCTGTAGTCCAAAACACCAGTGGGCGTGTCCATGACTGCCTAAGCTCACAGGAAGGGGTTGGATGATGTTGGGAATCATTCAGTTAGGAAACGGGGCAACAACTTATGAAGAACCAGGACACTGCAAACAGTATGTTTGTTCTAAAGTGGGTAGGTATTGCATTGAAAACATTAAAGCAGATGAACAAGGTTTAAAACATTGCCTTCCCTTAGCTTATAAACTTATTGCATACTGTTTACGCTTTATTCTTCTTTGGAGCTGTCCTTTGATCATACAGCTCCATCTCGCCTGTGCCAATAAGCAGCTTGATTCTAGGACTGATTTGCAGAGAGCCATTATACCACCCACCAACTTTCATTGCTCCCCTATTGTAGTTGTTCCCACCAGCCACAGCAGCTGCTCATTGACACAGGGTCGCTAGAGCTGTACAATCATGTGACTTTGCTGAAGATTAATTGTGTAAATAAAGGTATTTGAACTAATTAATTTTACAAACAGTATGCAGCATGTATACAAACGGGTGGGGGCAAAGTTTTAAATCTTGTTCATTTTATCCTTTCCTTCTACTTTAAGATATTACTCTATCAAGTTAATTGGTAAATAATTTCAGCTTTCCCTGATTTTTGTTTTCTGTATGTCTATGACCTGGAAGTGTAGAAACCTTATACAGTACATGGTATGATACCCAGCGTTTTCACGGGGAGGTCAGCAATGGTAGTCCCATATTTCTCTAAAAACGGGTGCACTTTAGGAATTCACTTTTGCACAGAAAAACCACATTTAAAAATACTCAGTGAAAAAAAAAGAGCTCTCCTTACACCCCAATTTCTCACCCCTTTGCCTGGGCCTGGAGACGCTGAGGATCATAAATCTCATGGAAATGCACTCCAGCTATTCAGCAATTGTAATGCATTTTTCAAATGTATAGTAGTGTCCTGTGTGGAGGGCTTTGTGTCCTGTCAGTGGCTTTTTGGTGCTTCTTTTTTGGCTCCCAGCAGCCAGTTGTCAGTTCTCTGCTTTCCAAAGGGCTTAATCAGATTTGATAAGCGTTCCTAGTTTGGGGCTCTCAGGAGAACCTAAAGCGTCTTCCCTCCCTCTGCCCTGAGTTCTGTCCTGTAAGTTTGTATTTTCCAACAGTCTTCTCTAATTTTACATATACTGTATATTATGTATGGTCCGTTGGTGACTTAAGTAGCTGCACTTGAGCCCTCTATATCTAGGAAATTGACCTCCACTGCTCAAAAGGACAGTGCAAATTGTATTTTTTGTGGAAAATTTGAACCTAAGGATGTTTGCAGTAATTGTTGGACAATGCATCAGAAACATAGGATATTTAGGGCATATTCACACCAGATGCGGTGGGACTGTGTTGGGTGGCGACTCCAGTGAAATCCCAGGGCTTTACAAGGCAAAATGCCTTATCTCTAGTGTGCCCTTTACACACCACTGCGTTGTGGTGTGCCTCATACTATACAGCCTGGCAATTGAACTTAAGCTATTACTAAACCCAGGACCCTGCATTCACTATATCTGGTCTCCCACAGTACACAGAACATGGAAGTGCAATTATTTTAGTAAATATAAACTGCTAAATACCTTTTCTCATCAGCAGTTAGAGCAGTCTGGTGACTTCTATCAGTGTCCAGTAGAGCACTGGTTACAGGTTGTAGGAGGAGTTTTCATTCTCCTGTAGGAGGATGCAGAACCACTGACCTCTGTCTGGAGAGTGCTGATTGGTCCTGTGCTGATCACTTGCACTCTCTTAAGTAAAAAAAAACCTCTCTAGCAATGTACCCCAAACTGAGCATGTGCAGCTTGTCCCAAGCCTCTGTTCTATCAGGAGATATTTAGGAGACACTGGAAGAAGGGGAGGATCAGAGAAAACAGGATCAAACATCCTTTTTGAGTGGAGGATTAACCCCTTAGGTTCCACAGTGAGTATAACAAGCATGCTTTACTGCATATACAGAATGATTTTCTGTTGTGGGTTTAGTAACACTTTAATGAAACGTGTCTGTGACATTTCTGTAAACTTGAAAGTGAGAAGTAGGATGCACCAAGATCAGTGCATCAGAACTGTGGTGATCCTGCCAGACCGCACTGCATACCAGCTGCTGTGTTGTAAAGCAGCAGCTGGTGTGAATTAGCCCTTATTTATTTTACTTTTGTGCAGCTACAGGAAAATACTTCTTCTAAATATTTGCTTTACTTAAACATCATCCTAGGTGCATGCTCTGTATTTTTTTTTTTTTGTTCAGCACACAGAAAACGAATTAAAGCTACAAGTCTGCTTGTACTGGACAAGACAAAGCAGGTTAGGAACCCCAGGAATGATATCATCTTTAATTTGCATGGGAAATAATAG